TGAAGTGTTTTCTTGTACTTTTAAGCCACTCAGATACCCTACGGGCTCGGAAAGTGCAACGAAACCATCAAATTTTAGCTAGAAACTGTATTTTTGTCGATTTTTATTGAATTTGAACTATATTTCAACGTTTTTTGATGGTTCTGAGCCACCAAACACACTTAAAGCATGCAGAATCGACTCAGAATAGGAAAAGGAGACGTTTAGGTCAATTTTATGCATTCTGGCGTTCGTAGATACAAGAAAACTGTTAAAATTCTTCAGAAACGTCACTTTTGAAGTGTTTTCTTGTACTTTTAAGCCACTCAGATACCCTACGGGCTCGGAAAGTGCAACGAAACCATCAAATTTTAGCTAGAAACTGTATTTTTGTCGATTTTTATTGAATTTGAACTATATTTCAACGTTTTTTGATGGTTCTGAGCCACCAAACACACTTAAAGCATGCAGAATCGACTCAGAATAGGAAAAGGAGACGTTTAGGTCAATTTTATGCATTCTGGCGTTCGTAGATACAAGAAAACTGTTAAAATTCTTCAGAAACGTCACTTTTGAAGTGTTTTCTTGTACTTTTAAGCCACTCAGATACCCTACGGGCTCGGAAAGTGCAAAGAAACCATCAAATTTTAGCTAGAAACTGTATTTTTGTCGATTTTTATTGAATTTGAACTATATTTCAACGTTTTTTGATGGTTCTGAGCCACCAAACACACTTAAAGCATGCAGAATCGACTCAGAATAGGAAAAGGAGACGTTTAGGTCAATTTTATGCATTCTGGCGTTCGTAGATACAAGAAAACTGTTAAAATTCTTCAGAAACGTCACTTTTGAAGTGTTTTCTTGTACTTTTAAGCCACTCAGATACCCTACGGGCTCGGAAAGTGCAACGAAACCATCAAATTTTAGCTAGAAACTGTATTTTTGTCGATTTTTATTGAATTTGAACTATATTTCAACGTTTTTTGATGGTTCTGAGCCACCAAACACACTTAAAGCATGCAGAATCGACTCAGAATAGGAAAAGGAGACGTTTAGGTCAATTTTATGCATTCTGGCGTTCGTAGATACAAGAAAACTGTTAAAATTCTTCAGAAACGTCACTTTTGAAGTGTTTTCTTGTACTTTTAAGCCACTCAGATACCCTACGGGCTCGGAAAGTGCAACGAAACCATCAAATTTTAGCTAGAAACTGTATTTTTGTCGATTTTTATTGAATTTGAACTATATTTCAACGTTTTTTGATGGTTCTGAGCCACCAAACACACTTAAAGCATGCAGAATCGACTCAGAATAGGAAAAGGAGACGTTTAGGTCAATTTTATGCATTCTGGCGTTCGTAGATACAAGAAAACTGTTAAAATTCTTCAGAAACGTCACTATTGAAGTGTTTTCTTGTACTTTTAAGCCACTCAGATATCCTACGGGCTCGGAAAGTGCAACGAAACCATCAAATTTTAGCTAGAAACTGTATTTTTGTCGATTTTTATTGAATTTGAACTATATTTCAACGTTTTTTGATGGTTCTGAGCCACCAAACACACTTAAAGCATGCAGAATCGACTCAGAATAGGAAAAGGAGACGTTTAGGTCAATTTTATGCATTCTGGCGTTCGTAGATACAAGAAAACTGTTAAAATTCTTCAGAAACGTCACTTTTGAAGTGTTTTCTTGTACTTTTAAGCCACTCAGATACCCTACGGGCTCGGAAAGTGCAACGAAACCATCAAATTTTAGCTAGAAACTGTATTTTTGTCGATTTTTATTGAATTTGAACTATATTTCAACGTTTTTTGATGGTTCTGAGCCACCAAACACACTTAAAGCATGCAGAATCGACTCAGAATAGGAAAAGGAGACGTTTAGGTCAATTTTATGCATTCTGGCGTTCGTAGATACAAGAAAACTGTTAAAATTCTTCAGAAACGTCACTTTTGAAGTGTTTTCTTGTACTTTTAAGCCACTCAGATACCCTACGGGCTCGGAAAGTGCAACGAAACCATCAAATTTTAGCTAGAAACTGTATTTTTGTCGATTTTTATTGAATTTGAACTATATTTCAACGTTTTTTGATGGTTCTGAGCCACCAAACACACTTAAAGCATGCAGAATCGACTCAGAATAGGAAAAGGAGACGTTTAGGTCAATTTTATGCATTCTGGCGTTCGTAGATACAAGAAAACTGTTAAAATTCTTCAGAAACGTCACTTTTGAAGTGTTTTCTTGTACTTTTAAGCCACTCAGATACCCTACGGGCTCGGAAAGTGCAACGAAACCATCAAATTTTAGCTAGAAACTGTATTTTTGTCGATTTTTATTGAATTTGAACTATATTTCAACGTTTTCTGATGGTTCTGAGCCACCAAACACACTTAAAGCATGCAGAATCGACTCAGAATAGGAAAAGGAGACGTTTAGGTCAATTTTATGCATTCTGGCGTTCGTAGATACAAGAAAACTGTTAAAATTCTTCAGAAACGTCACTTTTGAAGTGTTTTCTTGTACTTTTAAGCCACTCAGATACCCTACGGGCTCAGAAAGTGCAACGAAACCATCAAATTTTAGCTAGAAACTGTATTTTTGTCGATTTTTATTGAATTTGAACTATATTTCAACGTTTTTTGATGGTTCTGAGCCACCAAACACACTTAAAGCATGCAGAATCGACTCAGAATAGGAAAAGGAGACGTTTAGGTCAATTTTATGCATTCTGGCGTTCGTAGATACAAGAAAACTGTTAAAATTCTTCAGAAACGTCACTTTTGAAGTGTTTTCTTGTACTTTTAAGCCACTCAGATATCCTACGGGCTCGGAAAGTGCAACGAAACCATCAAATTTTAGCTAGAAACTGTATTTTTGTCGATTTTTATTGAATTTGAACTATATTTCAACGTTTTTTGATGGTTCTGAGCCACCAAACACACTTAAAGCATGCAGAATCGACTCAGAATAGGAAAAGGAGACGTTTAGGTCAATTTTATGCATTCTGGCGTTCGTAGATACAAGAAAACTGTTAAAATTCTTCAGAAACGTCACTTTTGAAGTGTTTTCTTGTACTTTTAAGCCACTCAGATACCCTACGGGCTCGGAAAGTGCAACGAAACCATCAAATTTTAGCTAGAAACTGTATTTTTGTCGATTTTTATTGAATTTGAACTATATTTCAACGTTTTTTGATGGTTCTGAGCCACCAAACACACTTAAAGCATGCAGAATCGACTCAGAATAGGAAAAGGAGACGTTTAGGTCAATTTTATGCATTCTGGCGTTCGTAGATACAAGAAAACTGTTAAAATTCTTCAGAAACGTCACTTTTGATGTGTTTTCTTGTACTTTTAAGCCACTCAGATACCCTACGGGCTCGGAAAGTGCAACGAAACCATCAAATTTTAGCTAGAAACTGTATTTTTGTCGATTTTTATTGAATTTGAACTATATTTCAACGTTTTTTGATGGTTCTGAGCCACCAAACACACTTAAAGCATGCAGAATCGACTCAGAATAGGAAAAGGAGACGTTTAGGTCAATTTTAAGCATTCTGGCGTTCGTAGATACAAGAAAACTGTTAAAATTCTTCAGAAACGTCACTTTTGAAGTGTTTTCTTGTACTTTTAAGCCACTCAGATACCCTACGGGCTCGGAAAGTGCAACGAAACCATCAAATTTTAGCTAGAAACTGTATTTTTGTCGATTTTCATTGAATTTGAACTATATTTCAACGTTTTTTGATGGTTCTGAGCCACCAAACACACTTAAAGCATGCAGAATCGACTCAGAATAGGAAAAGGAGACGTTTAGGTCAATTTTATGCATTCTGGCGTTCGTAGATACAAGAAAACTGTTAAAATTCTTCAGAAACGTCACTTTTGAAGTGTTTTCTTGTACTTTTAAGCCACTCAGATACCCTACGGGCTCGGAAAGTGCAACGAAACCATCAAATTTTAGCTAGAAACTGTATTTTTGTCGATTTTTATTGAATTTGAACTATATTTCAACGTTTTTTGATGGTTCTGAGCCACCAAACACACTTAAAGCATGCAGAATCGACTCAGAATAGGAAAAGGAGACGTTTAGGTCAATTTTATGCATTCTGGCGTTCGTAGATACAAGAAAACTGTTAAAATTCTTCAGAAACGTCACTTTTGAAGTGTTTTCTTGTACTTTTAAGCCACTCAGATACCCTACGGGCTCGGAAAGTGCAACGAAACCATCAAATTTTAGCTAGAAACTGTATTTTTGTCGATTTTTATTGAATTTGAACTATATTTCAACGTTTTTTGATGGTTCTGAGCCACCAAACACACTTAAAGCATGCAGAATCGACTCAGAATAGGAAAAGGAGACGTTTAGGTCAATTTTATGCATTCTGGCGTTCGTAGATACAAGAAAACTGTTAAAATTCTTCAGAAACGTCACTTTTGAAGTATTTTCTTGTACTTTTAAGCCACTCAGATACCCTACGGGCTCGGAAAGTGCAACGAAACCATCAAATTTTAGCTAGAAACTGTATTTTTGTCGATTTTTATTGAATTTGAACTATATTTCAACGTTTTTTGATGGTTCTGAGCCACCAAACACACTTAAAGCATGCAGAATCGACTCAGAATAGGAAAAGGAGACGTTTAGGTCAATTTTATGCATTCTGGCGTTCGTAGATACAAGAAAACTGTTAAAATTCTTCAGAAACGTCACTTTTGAAGTGTTTTCTTGTACTTTTAAGCCACTCAGATACCCTACGGGCTCGGAAAGTGCAACGAAACCATCAAATTTTAGCTAGAAACTGTATTTTTGTCGATTTTTATTGAATTTGAACTATATTTCAACGTTTTTTGATGGTTCTGAGCCACCAAACACACTTAAAGCATGCAGAATCGACTCAGAATAGGAAAAGGAGACGTTTAGGTCAATTTTATGCATTCTGGCGTTCGTAGATACAAGAAAACTGTTAAAATTCTTCAGAAACGTCACTTTTGAAGTGTTTTCTTGTACTTTTAAGGCCCGGTTTTACAAATGTCCGGTTCAACACGAGTTCAACTGAACTTGAGTTCAACTGAACTGAGGTTCAATTCATGCGTCCGTTTTACAAACACCGCTATCGTCCGGTTCAGCTGAACCACAAATTCCTTAGGTTGGTAGCGCGCACCCGAGAATCTGACAGTTGAGACCACGTTGGGAGCACGTTGGAAGTGTGTTGTTGTTGTCATCTATGTCATCATGTCACATTATTATAAATTATTTGTGACAAATTCTGCAAAGTAATTAGTTTTTTGCGTTACTGGGGTACGTATATGTGTATATGTAACATTTGCTCGTTAATAGTAGATGATTATGATGGTTTTTAACATTTCGTTTCAGATGAGTAATACACGTGCTCCGAATTTTACAAAATCCGAAGAAAACTTGCTCCTATCTTTAGTAAGCAAGTATAGAAATATTCTGGAGTATAAATTGTCCAACACTGATGCAAATCAAAAAAAAAAAAAATCAGTGTTGGAAGAAAATTGAAGTAGAGTTCAATTCTTTATCTGGCCAGACCTTCCGGGATCACAAAGTTTTGAACAAAAAGTACGACAACATTAAGAAGAGGACAACGAAAAAATTTGCTGACGAGAAAGCCTATGTCGGTGGTACTGGGAGAGGGTCACAACAAAGTATTGAGGCCACCGATGTTGATATGGCTGTAAAAGAAATTCTCGGGGCCAAACCAATGGGGCATAGCAGCGAATTTGATGGCGATTCCGAAACAACCTGTAATAAGTATTTTTATGAATAATATGTATTGTAAAATTAAAATGTTGATGCTTTTCAGCATTCCAAAGTAACAGCGGTATAATCTGTCTGATGACGAAAATGATGGTAAATACTTTTTATCCTTACATACACTTTATTCAGAAATTTTTTACTATTTTTTCTTTATTTCAGATTGTTTTATGCCAAAAGATCAAACCGGAGCAATTTCGAGAGAAGTGCCTGTTATGGATAAAATAAGTGGTCCCAATAAAGAAAGTGGTAAACATTAATAATAATTAATCAAATATGGTTATTTTTGTAGAAAATGGTCAAACTGGGAATTGGGCTAAATACTCCCCCAAAATCTTGAAGCAAAAAAAATTTTCAGCACTCACGCCATATCGTAGAGGTATTATATGTATATATATTTATATTAAAAAATGTTTGACACTTGTCTTAAAACTTTATTAATGTATTGTTTGTATAGGTAAAGGAAACCAGACAAGTGATAATTTAGAGCAATGTGCCGCTGCCAAAGAACTTGTCGAACTAAGTCGAAAGGAATACATCCAAAAGGAGCAAGAGTTTAAATTAAAAGCCATGAAAGAGAAACATGAACTAGAAATGCAAATTATGAGAGACAAAGCTGCACTTGAATTAGAAGTAATAAAGCAGAACACCAAATGAAGATTGAAATATTAATTGCCCAAAAATTTAATATTTTAAATAATAAAACTTAAATAAATAATTACATTACATTTTATTATTTACTGCAACTAAAAACGAAATCAAAAAAAGCAAATGAGTAAAATATTCTCTGATGAACTGGTTCCGTACAAAATTGTTCTGATTATAATTGCCACTATATTCTCCAATGTTTTCAATTAGAACATCGTTCACAAAATTCACTGCTGCTTCTTCTTCTGCGTCCACTGGCGGTTCTTCTTCATTTAAAATAATTGCAATGTTGTCTAACACTGCTGTTGCCACAACCACTGCCTCTAATTTACACATTTTTAAACGAATTCCAAAAGCCAGTGCTGGAAAGCGTCTTTTCCACACCCCAAAACATTAATTATTTGAGAAGCTGTTGCTTTACTAATCCCTATAAAGTCACCAGCAACTTGCAGAAAAGATCCAGTGGCAAGGAAACGTGAAGTCACAAGTAGCATTTGCTCCAGGGATACTGCATGATTTCTTTCTGTTCGCGATGTAATTTGCTCCTGTATTTGTTGCAAAATAAACCGTACGCCAGTCTTGGAAAAACGAAATCGTTTCAAAAATTCCCCAGCATTTCACTTTTCAAAGTGATTTTCTCTCAACTGAAAAACTTTTGGTCGTCGCATACGTGCCGGTTCTAATATGTTTATCATTTCTAAAACGTCTTCATCGTCAGTTAATACTCCTAATAAATTTTCCATATTCAATTATAATGCTGTCACACCACCAAAACGATAAAGCACAGACATTTGAGGTTATGGACAGTTGAGCGAAGCTTAAACCACCCTGACATCAGCGCTCAGCTGAGCTTTCGTTTGAGCGCGGTTTAACATTGAACCATGTATTGTAAAACGGACAACTGCAGTTGAACCAAGGCTTATCTTTGAACCTCGCTTAAGCTTGCATTGTAAAACCGGGCCTAAGCCACTCAGATACCCTACGGGCACGGAAAGTGCAACGAAACCATCAAATTTTAGCTAGAAACTGTATTTTTGTCGATTTTTATTGAATTTGAACTATATTTCAACGTTTTTTGATGGTTCTGAGCCACCAAACACACTTAAAGCATGCAGAATCGACTCAGAATAGGAAAAGGAGACGTTTAGGTCAATTTTATGCATTCTGGCGTTCGTAGATACAAGAAAACTGTTAAAATTCTTCAGAAACGTCACTTTTGAAGTGTTTTCTTGTACTTTTAAGCCACTCAGATACCCTACGGGCTCGGAAAGTGCAACGAAACCATCAAATTTTAGCTAGAAACTGTATTTTTGTCGATTTTTATTGAATTTGAACTATATTTCAACGTTTTTTGATGGTTCTGAGCCACCAAACACACTTAAAGCATGCAGAATCGACTCAGAATAGGAAAAGGAGACGTTTAGGTCAATTTTATGCATTCTGGCGTTCGTAGATACAAGAAAACTGTTAAAATTCTTCAGAAACGTCACTTTTGAAGTGTTTTCTTGTACTTTTAAGCCACTCAGATACCCTACGGGCTCGGAAAGTGCAACGAAACCATCAAATTTTAGCTAGAAACTGTATTTTTGTCGATTTTTATTGAATTTGAACTATATTTCAACGTTTTTTGATGGTTCTGAGCCACCAAACACACTTAAAGCATGCAGAATCGACTCAGAATAGGAAAAGGAGACGTTTAGGTCAATTTTATGCATTCTGGCGTTCGTAGATACAAGAAAACTGTTAAAATTCTTCAGAAACGTCACTTTTGAAGTGTTTTCTTGTACTTTTAAGCCACTCAGATACCCTACGGGCTCGGAAAGTGCAACGAAACCATCAAATTTTAGCTAGAAACTGTATTTTTGTCGATTTTTATTGAATTTGAACTATATTTCAACGTTTTTTGATGGTTCTGAGCCACCAAACACACTTAAAGCATGCAGAATCGACTCAGAATAGGAAAAGGAGACGTTTAGGTCAATTTTATGCATTCTGGCGTTCGTAGATACAAGAAAACTGTTAAAATTCTTCAGAAACGTCACTTTTGAAGTGTTTTCTTGTACTTTTAAGCCACTCAGATACCCTACGGGCTCGGAAAGTGCAACGAAACCATCAAATTTTAGCTAGAAACTGTATTTTTGTCGATTTTTATTGAATTTGAACTATATTTCAACGTTTTTTGATGGTTCTGAGCCACCAAACACACTTAAAGCATGCAGAATCGACTCAGAATAGGAAAAGGAGACGTTTAGGTCAATTTTATGCATTCTGGCGTTCGTAGATACAAGAAAACTGTTAAAATTCTTCAGAAACGTCACTATTGAAGTGTTTTCTTGTACTTTTAAGCCACTCAGATATCCTACGGGCTCGGAAAGTGCAACGAAACCATCAAATTTTAGCTAGAAACTGTATTTTTGTCGATTTTTATTGAATTTGAACTATATTTCAACGTTTTTTGATGGTTCTGAGCCACCAAACACACTTAAAGCATGCAGAATCGACTCAGAATAGGAAAAGGAGACGTTTAGGTCAATTTTATGCATTCTGGCGTTCGTAGATACAAGAAAACTGTTAAAATTCTTCAGAAACGTCACTTTTGAAGTGTTTTCTTGTACTTTTAAGCCACTCAGATACCCTACGGGCTCGGAAAGTGCAACGAAACCATCAAATTTTAGCTAGAAACTGTATTTTTGTCGATTTTTATTGAATTTGAACTATATTTCAACGTTTTTTGATGGTTCTGAGCCACCAAACACACTTAAAGCATGCAGAATCGACTCAGAATAGGAAAAGGAGACGTTTAGGTCAATTTTATGCATTCTGGCGTTCGTAGATACAAGAAAACTGTTAAAATTCTTCAGAAACGTCACTTTTGAAGTGTTTTCTTGTACTTTTAAGCCACTCAGATACCCTACGGGCTCGGAAAGTGCAACGAAACCATCAAATTTTAGCTAGAAACTGTATTTTTGTCGATTTTTATTGAATTTGAACTATATTTCAACGTTTTTTGATGGTTCTGAGCCACCAAACACACTTAAAGCATGCAGAATCGACTCAGAATAGGAAAAGGAGACGTTTAGGTCAATTTTATGCATTCTGGCGTTCGTAGATACAAGAAAACTGTTAAAATTCTTCAGAAACGTCACTTTTGAAGTGTTTTCTTGTACTTTTAAGCCACTCAGATACCCTACGGGCTCGGAAAGTGCAACGAAACCATCAAATTTTAGCTAGAAACTGTATTTTTGTCGATTTTTATTGAATTTGAACTATATTTCAACGTTTTTTGATGGTTCTGAGCCACCAAACACACTTAAAGCATGCAGAATCGACTCAGAATAGGAAAAGGAGACGTTTAGGTCAATTTTATGCATTCTGGCGTTCGTAGATACAAGAAAACTGTTAAAATTCTTCAGAAACGTCACTTTTGAAGTGTTTTCTTGTACTTTTAAGCCACTCAGATACCCTACGGGCTCAGAAAGTGCAACGAAACCATCAAATTTTAGCTAGAAACTGTATTTTTGTCGATTTTTATTGAATTTGAACTATATTTCAACGTTTTTTGATGGTTCTGAGCCACCAAACACACTTAAAGCATGCAGAATCGACTCAGAATAGGAAAAGGAGACGTTTAGGTCAATTTTATGCATTCTGGCGTTCGTAGATACAAGAAAACTGTTAAAATTCTTCAGAAACGTCACTTTTGAAGTGTTTTCTTGTACTTTTAAGCCACTCAGATATCCTACGGGCTCGGAAAGTGCAACGAAACCATCAAATTTTAGCTAGAAACTGTATTTTTGTCGATTTTTATTGAATTTGAACTATATTTCAACGTTTTTTGATGGTTCTGAGCCACCAAACACACTTAAAGCATGCAGAATCGACTCAGAATAGGAAAAGGAGACGTTTAGGTCAATTTTATGCATTCTGGCGTTCGTAGATACAAGAAAACTGTTAAAATTCTTCAGAAACGTCACTTTTGAAGTGTTTTCTTGTACTTTTAAGCCACTCAGATACCCTACGGGCTCGGAAAGTGCAACGAAACCATCAAATTTTAGCTAGAAACTGTATTTTTGTCGATTTTTATTGAATTTGAACTATATTTCAACGTTTTTTGATGGTTCTGAGCCACCAAACACACTTAAAGCATGCAGAATCGACTCAGAATAGGAAAAGGAGACGTTTAGGTCAATTTTATGCATTCTGGCGTTCGTAGATACAAGAAAACTGTTAAAATTCTTCAGAAACGTCACTTTTGATGTGTTTTCTTGTACTTTTAAGCCACTCAGATACCCTACGGGCTCGGAAAGTGCAACGAAACCATCAAATTTTAGCTAGAAACTGTATTTTTGTCGATTTTTATTGAATTTGAACTATATTTCAACGTTTTTTGATGGTTCTGAGCCACCAAACACACTTAAAGCATGCAGAATCGACTCAGAATAGGAAAAGGAGACGTTTAGGTCAATTTTAAGCATTCTGGCGTTCGTAGATACAAGAAAACTGTTAAAATTCTTCAGAAACGTCACTTTTGAAGTGTTTTCTTGTACTTTTAAGCCACTCAGATACCCTACGGGCTCGGAAAGTGCAACGAAACCATCAAATTTTAGCTAGAAACTGTATTTTTGTCGATTTTCATTGAATTTGAACTATATTTCAACGTTTTTTGATGGTTCTGAGCCACCAAACACACTTAAAGCATGCAGAATCGACTCAGAATAGGAAAAGGAGACGTTTAGGTCAATTTTATGCATTCTGGCGTTCGTAGATACAAGAAAACTGTTAAAATTCTTCAGAAACGTCACTTTTGAAGTGTTTTCTTGTACTTTTAAGCCACTCAGATACCCTACGGGCTCGGAAAGTGCAACGAAACCATCAAATTTTAGCTAGAAACTGTATTTTTGTCGATTTTTATTGAATTTGAACTATATTTCAACGTTTTTTGATGGTTCTGAGCCACCAAACACACTTAAAGCATGCAGAATCGACTCAGAATAGGAAAAGGAGACGTTTAGGTCAATTTTATGCATTCTGGCGTTCGTAGATACAAGAAAACTGTTAAAATTCTTCAGAAACGTCACTT